TGTTTAGCTCATTGTCACCTACAAACATACTCAGCTTGTCAAGTCAGAACGGTCCCAACCAACCAGTCTAACTGGACTTTTTTAAAATTTATTTATTTTTTTTTACCAAAAACACATCCAGATTCTTCATCTTTTTAATTTTTCTGTGGCAAACTATTTTTGTTGTGTTGTTGTGTACTATGTATTTGAGAATTTTTTTTAAATAATAAATTGATCATTACTACTATTAAACTGTCCAGACCAGTTTTATTATTTTGATATCAAATTAATGCTGCTTCTTTATTTAATTTAGTTTAGTTTTACTTTAGTTTAATGTTATATTTCTTTAAGAAAATCCCACCTTAACATAATGATTTTATAAGTAATCAAATTCCACTCATTCAACGATTTGAACTAAATAAATTCTGTTGCAACTAGGAAACAATAACTTACAGTCGGTCAACTGGCCTAAGAAATTTGCTGACAGCTGAGACTAAAAGTAGACAATAGACATGCTGCCCACAATCTATGTGAAGGAAATTTGTTTGGTAACACAGAACATGAGTAACAGAAAAAAAGTTAGTTATGCAAGCCTTGTCTGGAAGAATGTGAATGCTTTATTTTCCAGATTTTGTGTACTAGCATTTTTTTTTTTAGATCAACCTGTTTGAATAGATTGATTGATCTCTGGGGGGTGATTAAAGAACACAATGGTAAATAGAAATATGCGTTACTTTCATGGACAACAGAAGGAGAACAATGGAGCAGGAAGACAGAGGCTTGTATGTAACTGAGGCAAATATGCTGCCACTCTGACAGACCCTCTTCTCATTTAACTCTCATCAGAGAGCTGAAAGAACTTCCTGTGTTTGAGACTCTTTCAAGTCGGCTCCACTTAGAAGCAACACATCTGGTTTGTTATGTTACCATTAACCAATTGAAGTCTAATTCAGCCAAGAAAAGAAAGAAATCTGTATCCCTCATTTGTTAACATGAACACTTCTGTCAGATTATTGACTTTCTAAACATTTTGTAAAGCCTGTTTCGTTTACACTAGCATGCAAGCAAGAATCTCTGTACCGGGTTGAGGAAAGGCCAGGGTGTCAGGTGGAGGGAAGGCAGCTGTGGACACAATTGTCCCGATCATAACAGAAAACAGAACTTGGTTCCTGCTGGAAAAACACAAGTTGTTTAGTCATTAAGAAAGGGAGTATGAGTCTTCTTGGCGTGATTCCCGAACAATGCGGGATCTTAATGTTTTTTAAGCTAAAGAATATGACAGATTGGATATCATTAGGAATTCTTGTGCTGAATTCTGTGGCATGAGCTTAAATGCTGAAGGAGAAGCTGAGGGATTTCCAAGAAAGAGCAAAGTGGTGCTTGAAAAATAATGTTTCATGGCTTTGAGATTTTGGAGCGAAGTCGGTGTGAAGTCGCTCTTCAGAAGGGTGCCAGCGAACAAAGTCCTTCATATGCATCTGCAGCTCATATCGCTGCATTTTTCAGCCCCCTTACTGACATCCCTCCAACTCTGTCTTTGCCTGAGGTATCCATACATGTGGCACGCAAAAGATATAAAAGTCTTTGATGTTGTCCCTCTTCACAGACAATTGCACTCCAGTGAGATCCATTTATCCTTTTTTTGTTCATCTCCCAAGCAGCTCGGGGTGAATAAATGACTGTATGCTGAAACTGATTTGCAAAAATAAGAAAGAAAAAGCCTTTCTTCACAAACTTCTATGTAAAAAGACCATCAGAATAAGGCATGATCACAGCCTGATACAAAATGCTCTGGTCTCTATAGGTAATATACTACTTCATAACAAATCTAGGGGATAAATATTTTTTAGCTATTTAATTTTTTTAAGGCTTCAAGTTACAGATGTATCCACTTTGACTGGCAGTTGGCTTTACCTAGACCACAGGTGTCAAACTCCAGGCCTTGATGGCTGCTGTCCTGCTGGTTTCCCAACTAACCTGCCCTTGTAGCTTCTTATTGGCAAAGCACACCTGATCCAGGTAATCAGTAGCAGGTAGGGCAGGGATATCTCAAAAACAAGTAGGATGCTGGCACTCAAGGACTGGAGTTTGACACCCCTGACTAGACGCTGTAGGGTTCACCTCTCCTAATAGACATCTCTGGCCATCTCACCTGCATTTGTGGTTTTGGTTTTGTACAAATTGCATTGCCCTGTTTCATGTTTCCAATACAAAATATAGAAAATCTTGGGTTGTGCACATATTCTGTGGATATGCTCCTAATTTTGCAGTCCTTATAGTAAGATGTCTGTTTTCTGAATTTCTAAGTTGGAGTCCTAGTTGTTCAAAGTCTCTAATGAAGCTCAGTTATTATTTTCTCAGTCTAGACTCTGACTGCAGACCCTGTCCCCCTGTCCCCCTATCCCTGGCTCATGGCCAGCGTTTCGTAGGAATGCTTCTTCATTGTTGGCATTTTGTAATGAGATTCACAGTGTATGCTAGGTGAGGAATTTGAGCTATGTTCACCATATCTAAAACAACTGTCTCTCCAAAACCAGTCAGAACTTGATGTACTCAGCGCTATGTGAAGGAGTCATCATTTCCTGTAACGAGTTCCTCTGTCATCCATCTATGACACAGTCAACAGACCCCTGCATTCTTAAAATCACATGATTGGTGATAAATTGTACCTTAGAGGACATAGTGGGGTTGAAAGGTTTTAGATACTGCAAAGGGGAACTCCAAAAAAGCGTCATTATCAACAGATGCACTAAGCAACAGCAGATATCATTCTTGTTCCAAATGCTAAGCAGTGTGGCGTGGCTGCTAAAGTAAAGGACTAAGACATTTTTGCTATTGTGAAACAGAATAATGCAATAATATGATGTGTTACACAATCACACAGTATTATTATTATATTACAGTATTATCACTATTATTAAATTAAATGAAATTGCATTTCTGATGGAATCTAAAGGATGACTGAAGGGTCAGCTTAAATAGGAAACATGTTTTCTCACAACGCTGGTTTCACGTGTCTGGATTTTGAGATATTTGCCTCTGAGATTTGTAGAATTTTGATTTAATGGATGAAGAAAATAAAAAACAACACAAATCTTACTAGAATCTGAAACAACAACCTGGCCCTCTGAAAACTATTAACACTCTGTTTTGTGAAGCCTGTTGGGAGCTATGGTTTTTGGATGGATTAAAGCAATGGTCTGGTGTTTGAGGAAGTGTGCTCATCTGGTTTCTTGTACTGATAATCTGTAGGATAAATGTGATGCTACTGCTCACAACTGGTTAGCTTGGTTCATAAACATTGGGCTAGTCTGTCTTTGTTGTAATGAGAACAGAATCTATTAAAAAGTTACGACTCATTAAATCTCTTTTTAATCAGCTGGAGTTGCCAACAGCCGGTTAAAGCTCAAGGCAACAACTACTTTGCATCAAAACCCAGGAAAACTGTGGCACATGACACAGTAAAATCTGTGAAAATATGGTTTTACTATGAAGGGATTTTTCTTGTTAGACTTTTCCCCCCCTACTATTTTAACCACATGTTGAATTTTACCATTTATGAAAAAACTGACAAAATTACCTGGACATTTTCTATTTTTCCATTGCCCATTTTTCTACTAAAGAAATCCTACAGATAGATGTATCTCAAAAGCTCCTCACACTGAAAATAAACAGTAAAAAAAAATCTTTACTCAGTTGAATAGGTAAAATGGCCTTTTAATACAATGATTTATCACTTTATTACAAGGTGCTATTCATTCTATTGGGACATATATTATCCATCAGTATGGGGGTGGACAACATGTTGACAAAAGGCTGCTCATTAGCAGAATTTCCCATTCACACGTTTTCAATTGAAAGGTCAAGCAGTTGCATAATCCCAGAGCTTGGCAAGCTTCAACTGCTTAGATTGGCAAGAGACATGACTTCACAAAGCACTTCATTTTCAGCAGAAATAACACACATAAATTTCTGTGGCTGTGCACCAGCTTCATGAAGCACAAACTATGAAATGTTCCATGTAGTAAAAACAGGAACAAAGACAACGTAATATTTAATACATTGGCGTGTATATTTCAACATAAGGTGTTACAGTAGGTTACCTCTTAAAGATTTGCACAAGCCATTACAGACCGGCAACTCATGCCCAATAGATTTACATATATTACTCCTATTTACAGACATTTAAGTGTTTTTAATATACAACTATGCAACATTTGAATTGATATGTACATACTTTGATACACAGTGCACACATATATACACAATATCTATGTACAATCTTGATTCAATATAGCTTTTTTGTGGGGGTGGGGGGGATTATTTTTAATCCGACAATCATTATGGTGTCACATATCACATTGATTTCCAGGAAGTTGTTTATCTCGAGTGCAAATGAAGCCAAAACTCAGAACCACCAGTGCTGCAGGATGTCTGAGGAAAATCAGGAAGTGTGCTGATGTGTTGTGTGTGGAATGTGTGAGCTTCTTCCCAAGATTTTATGAAAGACATGGGAACAGTTTGTGAGAAGGTGGGCTGACTTATCCAGCAGTGGTCAGTCTCACT